GTGTGTGTGTGTGTGTGTGTGTGTGTGTGAGAGAGAGAGAGAGAGAGAGAGAGAGGGGAAAGACTGATGGGTGATGATGGTGGCCTTGGCAGGTGACAGGCTACAGAGGCGGAGTGGATGGACCAAGTGATGCGTGGAAGTCAGAGTGACAGGATTGGTGTGGGGGCAGGGGAGAAGGGAGATTCCAGGGTGCCCCTGAAATGTGAAGGAGTGCAGAAGTACCTTCTGAGGCGGGGATCAGCTGGACGTGGGGGGAGCGGAGACCGTGCGTCCCATTTTGACCACATGAGTCTGAGGTGTCAGTGGGATTTCCGGTGGAGCTGTGGAAACTCTGGAGGGCAGCCGGGCTGGAGGCCGAGGTCCAGGGTAGTCGAGGGCATAGCAAGATGGCACAGGCAGGGGTACCGTGAAAGAAGAAGGGGGCCCAGAACGATGACAGTGACACTCGAGGGATGAGCTGGGAGCCCACCCAGGAGGCTGGTGAGGACAGTTGGAGAGGAGTGGGGTGGAGAGCGTGGCCTCCAGAAGAGTGACTCCAGGAAGCAGGTGCCATGGCAGGTCCCGAGCTGAGGGCACAGTGCTATGGAGGCCTGGAAGCCAGCCTGGCCTGTGGGGGCTGGTCAGAGAACCCAGGGAGGTGGACGGAGTGGAGACAGCCAGTGTGGACCACTCTGGACAGGCCTTGGAAGGGAGGGGAGCCGTGAGCAGGTCAGGCCCTGGAGAAGGCATCACTGACAGAGGTGCCGACTGGGCAGGAGAGGTGGCCTTGGACACAGCGAGAGAGCCCCTCTGTCCTCAGGAGAGGAGGGGCCCTGGGGCCTGCAGTTTCTCCTCCCACTGTGAACTGTGACATTAGGTCACCTGCTAAAGGTGAGGGGGTTGGAGCACTGGGGTGGGGTGGAGAAGGGACACAGGTTGCCAGCAGCGTTGGGGCCAGCCATGTTGAGGCACTCTTCTCAGTGTTCATGTCCCGGCAGCAGAAGGGACAGGCTTTAGGGGCAGGTGTGGTCAGTGTGGCTCAGTGCTTGGCTGAACAGAGAAGGATGGGTATGATGTTCCGAAGGGCTGCTGGTAGCAGTCAGCATGGGGCCGCACAGAGGGGGAGTGGGGCAGGGCGGGGAGAGACGTGTGTCTTTCATGTGTCTCATTTGTTTTAAAGGGAATGTGGCCAATGAACTGCAGAGCCCCATGCTGGGGGGGCGGGGGGGGTTTTAAAGTGAAATACAAGAGAGGGTGTCAGGAAGGGGTTCTGGCTGAGAAGGGGGGACATCCTACTCTACCCCAGCATCTACGGCTGGTTTATTTCCATCATTGTCACCAGTGTGTACATTTATTCAAGTCCTCACGGGTGTTGGGTTTGGAACTCATAGCTACTCTAAATGGTGATCACTTCCCTCACCTAAAATCCAGAAGGAATAAAAGATCATTCACAATAGCCCTGAGTACGGTGTCTGGCCTGTAGGTGGCCCTCCACAAATGTCATTGTCATCATGTGCTGGAATTAAGACAGTGGCCAGGACCCAGTCACCACCTTCAGCAGATTCACATCCTTTTATTTGGGGCGGGGGGAGAGGTTTTTGCTATAGGGCCCGTGCGCTCGCCAGACAGACAGAGAGAGACATAGAGACAGAAAGCAGGAAATCACCCCCCCAGGGGGGATGGTCACGCGGCAATCCCTTCTCCTCCATTTTCCTCTCGGGATCTTGGGCACACATGCACACGTGCCTGGTGTGAGTTTGAAGCCACCGGGTCGAGACATGAACCGCAGTTGACCACGTGGGAGTCCAGCGACACAGCCATTACGCTCACTGCTGGTTCCCCAGATTCACATCTTGAGATGGAGTTGGGGAGCAGACACTGAAATATGGTACAGCAAGGTTGCTTAGTAAGTGATGGAAACATGGGCAGGGGCTGATGGGCCTGTCTTAGTTGGTCCAGGAGGGCTTCTAGGAGGAGGTGATATTTCGGATGCGTTTTAAGGACAGGAAGAATTAGCTGGTGACGGGAGGGGACTCGGAGCAGCCGGCCAGTGCTCTCCGTGAGGTTTCAGTGTGGAGGTGAGGTGGCAGTACAAGTCATTCACTGTGTAGGGACAAGGACAGCAAACCAGTTTCAGACCAGCCAACACCACAGGTGCAGGGAGCGGGGATGGGAGGAAAGAGTCCAGGGGCCAGGGAGGAGCAGTCTCAGGTCCCTGGTCGCCACTGTCCTGCCTCTCTCCGAAACTGCCCGCTCTCCACGATTGCCCCGGTTCCCCCTGCCAGCCCCTTTGCACAGCTGATCTTCCGGACCTTTGCTTAATAATGGTTGTGTTCTCCCACAGGTCCGAAGTGACGTCTTCCGGTGGCCCTTAGGAGTAGTGGGTCGCGGCAGCTGACCATCATGCACAGCGGTATCGCGTCCGGCACGCTTCCCGGGCGCCTCCCCTGAGCCTAACCGCGAGTTCAAGCCCTGGCCTGTCTGGCCGCACCATGAGGAGGGGTGAGGGGAGAAAAGAGCCGGGGGCCCGGGGAGGAGCAGCCTCAGGCCCCTGGTCGCCACTGTCCTGCCTCTCTCCGAAACTGCCCGCTCTCCACGATTGCCCCGGTTCCCCCTGCCAGCCCCTTTGCACAGCTGATCTTCCGGACCTTTGCTTAATAATGGTTGTGTTCTCCCACAGGTCCGAAGTGACATCTTCCGGTGGCCCTTAGGAGTAGTGGGTCGCGGCAGCTGACCATCATGCACAGCGGTATCGCGTCCGGCACGCTTCCCGGGCTCCTCCCCTGAGCCTAACCGCGAGTTCAAGCGGGCCCCACCAGGAGCCACGGGCCGAGCCCCCGGCTGGCCGAGTCCCCGCAGCTGTCCAAGGGCAGCCTCCTGACCATCCTGGGCAGTCCGTCGCCCGAGCGCATGGGGCCGGCTGAC